GTTAATGAATTGGCATGAAAGTGATGTCGCGCGGTTCAGAAAGAGCAAAAATGAATATCTACCAAATTTCATCGAAAAATATTCACCGGTTTTCAAGATATTAGACTTTTACTTTTGTTTACTTTTTGGGATCTCCGCTGTTCCTAGCGACTTTATTTGAAAGTGCGGCATTTGTTGCGCGCAAAGCAGCATATACCACCGCGTGCTGCCAAACGTTTTAGTAAAAGATTTAAAAATCGTTAGATCTCCGCTGACGTCACAAATTCTAAGGGGGCATACCAATGCATTAGCCCCTTAGAATCCGAAAACTGCAAGTTTGAAATTCCATATCTCCGAATTAAAGCATTTTTCGATGTTGTGAATGCCCAAACCGGTATTTTCAGGCCATGGCCACCAATTTGGCTATCTCAACTCAAAACTAATGTTAAGGTGGGAGGGTCCCTTTAAAGTTCCACGTTTCCGGAGCACCGTACCCAAACTCAGTTCATGTTACAAGAAAAAACAGTAATAATGCCTCCTAATTTTGAATGAAATATAGGTATGAGTAATTTGATTTGGAAAGCAACAAATTTCCGCACATCATTTTAGCAAAATTACTATTTTCTTCAGCCATCAGGTTACACAAAACTATAGTAAACTTTATGATCTAGTTTACACAAAACCAAAGCCCCGATTTTAACAAATGTAGATAAAATTTAAACAATTTTAAAAAATGTATCGTGGAGAAAATGAAAAGTGTAGATTTATAAAGCCGGGATATTTCAATTTCACGGATTAGGCACTTAAAGAAATATCTTCACCTTTCTTTGAGCCACCAGCCTTCACCCAAGTTTTACACGAATGTAGTGAAGCAGACAATGTGGCAACTCAAAATTGTGATGGTTTGAGATAATTATGACGGTAAAAGAAAAAGCAACACAAGGTTCCTTACCCTCGTTTTTTCACATGGGTTCAGATGAGGCTTCAACTGTTGCCGACCTGAGGAGCTATAGGGACTTGAGCTTTCCAAAACTCAATTTCTAAGGGCACTGAGCAGTGTTTGGCTTTCACACGAATGCGATAGTAAGTTATATGAAGTTGACAAAGCAAGCAAAGCAAAGCATGATGCCCCGCGCGTCCGCCCGCGACCACGCCCCGCGTCCGACTCCCGACCGCCGCGTGACCCGAGGCGCCCGGCGGTCACGTGACCTACCGGCCGGGACTGCAAACGGCCTTCACCACCATTCTTGTATGACGTCATATCCTACTGAGGTGCTGATTGGTCGGAATTAGATACCTGAAGGTAATTATCTGCCGTAGTTATTTTTGTTTCATTGTTTTGCGTGTTTTCTTATATGAAATGTAATTAAAAAATGTGTCGTATTTTAATCACCATTAAAACATAACTGAATAGGTATAAAAGAGAACTCGATATATACTTTCCTTGTTTTTAAGAATTCCGGAATTAGATACCCGAGGGAGCAAAGTTGCCACGCTGATTTAATACCTCATAGTCGAAAGGTGGGCTACTAGAACTAAAAATTGCTGTGTTTGTAAATAAATAAGTGATTTGAGGGCAAAAAATGCCCGGATTTAAACTTCTAAAATTTTTTTGAACATAAAATATTTCAGTTTGAGGGATGTTAAGGCCTCTAAGGGTAGGTACTTTTTAGGTATCAAATAAGTTCCTCTGCGAAAGTTCCGTCGTGAAAACGGCCACCATGTATTTATTTCCCAAAACACAGTATTATGCACAAAATATGGTGTGGTTCACCAAAACAAACCACAGCAAACACATTTGCTTACAAGCAAAACACGAGAAAACTGCTGGTATCTGAAACTACAGCAAGGTTCGCGAAAAGAACTACGAACATGACAGCTGTTATATCAAACAATATACGGCATAAACCGTTTATGTGCCTATACATACAAGCGACGACGTGACAGGTCTTTTCAATCTTTTTTAAGGGACGGTGCCGGGGGCCAGTATCTTTCTGGATGGGTCAAATTGATCGATGGTTCGTGTCAATTCAGAGACACGGGGTTCGTGTGAATGCGTTCATATTTCCACACTGCAAATGGGTTGATCACGGCCCAAACGCAGCTAGCTGGCCATAGGCGCTAGTCAACTTTCCGTGCAAAAACTGACCAGTGAGGGGTTCTGAACATTCAAATCGTACCGAAAAACCCGCGGCAACGTTTGGGTACGGTTCGTGATCGCACTGTTTAGAAGTGCTGATCGGATCACTTCCCCCAACCCGAGCTTCGGGAACTGGGAACTGGTCGGTGGCTGCGACAATCGGTGCCAAGAACAGGATAGTTGAGATAGTGTGGGACTGGCCCATGTCAAAGGTCCACCAAGGATCATCAAAATCACCACCAATGCCTGCAAGGAGATTTGGTCCGGTGTAGGTGCACAAATGACGCATTTCTACATGACAATCGAAGTCGTGGATCGTTTTATTTAGAAGTCCTAGGCAGTCCTCGTTCGGCTTGTCGCTGCCGTCAAGATCTGTGTTGGCCCAGAGTTGAGCTGCAGTTATGTTGGATCCATCCGCTGCGTCATACCGATGTGCCTCCAGGATGTCGTTGACTCCGATTCCGATGGGTTCATCTGATGTGATGCCGAAAACCCCGTACAGATGGTCAACTACTTCCGTGGAGTGTGGAACGAAGGGGACACCGCCGAGGTCCAGACAGCCGCGGGCAGCTTCAGTACTGGGAAGGGCAGATTCGGTGAGACGAATAAGACGTCCGGAGATTTCGGTGAAGATGGACTCCATTCCTGATGTAGCTGTTACGGCGACTCTGGAATGATGGAATGTTTCTTGATCAATCGATTCACTGGGATTTCTGCTGGTCTGGTCTGTGTCTGTCTTGGAATCCGGCCGACAATGCAGCCTGCCAGAAAGTTCCCATCCTTGGCGACAGGAGCAGAAGCCGTTTGCATTACACTCCACGCCATCCGGCTCGCTAGCAAAAATGGAGCAGTCGGTGTCCTGATGACACGGCTGGCCCAGCCAGCTGATGCCACGACGCCGGCCCGTGCTCCACTCTTCCACCGTCTCCTGGGTGACGTCCGCCGGCAGCAGGATGTCGGTAAGACCGCACGTCCTGCTTCCCATGTGATGTTCGTAGCCCAGACAACGCGGTTCGGCCAGACAGCGAAGCCGACAATTGCATAGTGAGATGCCGGTCAGGGTGCGGTAGCGCATGTGGTCAGCGTACCTCTGAGAGCCTTTGGAGATGTAGTCAAACTCGAACGCCTCGGGTGGAAACGTCACCGACCCGGTGTTCGACCTGTCCAAAAGTTCTGGTGGGAAATGAGAAAAGCTGTCGGCATTCATCGAGCGTACGAAAGCAAGAAGTATCGGCAGCACGGTCAGTGAGGAAGGCCGACCGGCCAGACACGAGCGTCCGGCCATGGTGGCGGCTCGCCGGGGAGTGGCCACAACGTCGACCCTTGCGCCGCCCACAGTACCCTGTGACGTCACCGTCTACAGCGCTAGTGTGATGTCACCGTCTACAGCGCCCGTGTGACGTCACCGTCTACAGCGGCCGTGTGACGTCCCCGTCTACATACAGCGCTAGTGTGACGTCACCGTCTACAGCGCTAGTGTGACGTCACTGTCTACAGAGCTCGTCATCAGTAAAGGGGCGTTGTGCGCGACGTCATCAGGGGAGACATGAGTTTTGTAAGTACGAGTGGCAAAAGCAGTTTGCAACATGTTGCAGTCGTATAGAAGCTATTGGCGAAGAATCTGCCCCCCCCCCCCCAGTGAAAATTCCTTAGACGAGGCCCTGGCCTTCCGCGTATCACTACTTGGCCCAGGAGCCGAGTTAGAAGGGGGTGTTCAACACCCCCCCCCCTTTCAGCAGAGCGTGGAAATCCAGGCAGTGGCGGATCCAGGAAAACTCCAAGGGAATCGAATCAAAGTGGTGTCCCTACCTATACCCAAAATTAAAAGCTCAACGGATTTCGGCCACTTCATTGTGATGGTGCCTATTTTCAGTTTTTTTTTTTAATTTTTTTGTGTGTTGCCCCTGGTGGGCCTGTGGTGCCCCTGCTAGGCCGCAAGTGCCCCTGACAGGTTTGTGGTGCCTCTGGAAGGACCATGGTGACTGGTGCCCCTGACAAGATTGAAGTGCCAACGACAGGCCCACGGTGCCCCTGACAGGCCCATGGTACCCCTGCGAGGCTGGTGATGCCCCTTCTAGGCCGGTAGTGCCCCTGGCAGGCCTGTGATACCCGTGCTAGGCCGCCGGTGTCCCTGAGCCCTGACAGGACTGTGGTGCCATTGACAAGCCTGAAGTGTCCCCTACAGGCACGTGGTGCCCCTGACGGGCCCAATGTGCATCCCTGCGAGGCCAGTGGTGTCCCTGACAGGCCTGTGGTGCCCCTGACGGGCCCAAGGTGCCCTTGCGATGCCAGTGGTGCCCCTGACAGGCCTGTGGTGCCCCTGCTAGGTTTTGGGTGCATCTGACAGGCCTGTGGTGCTCCTGGAAGGACTGTGGTGCCCCTGGGCCCTGACAAGCCTGAGGTGCCCCTGACTGGCCCGTGGTGCCCTTGCTAGGCCTTTGGTGCCCCTGACAGGCCTGTGGTGCCCCTGGCGGGCCTGTGGTGCCCTTGGTGGGCCTGTGCTGCCCCGGCCGTGATGGTGCCCCCCGGGAGGCCCAAGGGGGGGCATGGCCCCCATGCCCCCCTGGATCCACCACTGAATCCAGGACCCCTAGCCCAGCAGGGGCTGGGGGTCAAATACGTAAGTAGAGTGCTGATTTTAAGCACAATCATTGATGAATCAGCCGTCGTTTCAACGTCCTATCATAGTGCAGCTCGTCAAAGTTCCACCATTGACGCAGGACCGCGGTTTCCCGGTGAGCCGTTACGACCTGCCGGCGATTATTGGAAGCACAAGCAGTTCCAATAATCACCGCCATACGTTGGACTTCTCTGATCACTGCTGCCACCTGTCGGAGATCACTAGAATCACACAAGGACGACTCGTCAGCGTAAGTAATTTATAAACAGTTAGTCTGTAGCAGTGGAAGACCGCGCCTGGCGGTGGTAACTGCGGTAAAACATAGTCTGCAGAACTGTGACTGTGGTACAGTGTGCAAGCGACGACCCCGCTGTGATCAGTGACCTGGCCTGACCTGACCTGACCTGGGTCAAAATAGAAGGAGAGATAGTGACTACCCAGCGCTGCCCCTACAATATAAAAAGGTAAAAATTGTGGATAAACCATGACGAATGCCTACAAGCGGAGAGAAACATACTTTGATCCAAATATCGGACAAATAGTGTAATGATAGAGACTTAGGGTGCGTTCGGAGAGCGCGGAATATTCCCCGTCATCGTGAAAATTCCCCGTGTTGCCTTCGGAGAGGGACATTCCATACCGCCAATTTCAAGGATCGACGCTACTGCGCCAAGTTGAGTTCGTGGGATTTTGTTTGGGTTATTTGGGTTGGCCCAATGCTCTTGCTCTTGCTCTGACTCCCTCTGAAGCTCTTGAAGAAAGAACAACTAAGAAAAATCACAATTATTTTCAAAAAGTCAATAAAAATATATACTGTGCCCCTCCCCCCCCCCCCACCCCACCCCAAACACACACAACACAACACTTCAAATTATCGTTTTCATTGATTCAGAGGACAATCACACAACTGAGTAAGCATTATCAATTGTTGGATTTGCAATAAAACTGATCAGGGTGGAAACAAACGCAAGAAATAGCCATTTATATTCAATAATATACTCACTCGAGCATATTGATGGGCGCCGCCATCTTCACGGGAACGACGCGTGAGATGCTTTTTAGATTCCGCGCTTTCCGCGTCCGTTCCGCGGAACTTTCCCCGGGAATCGCTCTCCGAACGGCACATTCGGCGGAAATTTCATGCCGGCGTGGAATATTCCCCGGGAATCTGCCTCTCCGAACGCACCCTTACCTATAGCATGTTCGTTCGTATTCAACGATCACAAATTGTATTAGGTACACCTCTTGCCTTACAATGCTGTACGTACACGTAGGTCTACTATTATATCTAGTATCTAGTTCGATATCTAGTTCGTGCATTACCTGTCGTTTTTGGTTGCATTTCCCGTCGATAGGTATGTACAGTCCACAGCAGAAGTAATGTTGGGTTTCAGTCATGGGTATGTTCTGCTTCTGAAGCTTAGGAACGATTAACCTTCGCCCCAGTGGGGGGGGGGGCATATGTTACCACCCTGTCGCGTTTTTCGCGTGTGAATAAAAAACCGCGGCGCGTAGCGCCGCGCCGCTTGGGGTAGCTTTTGGTACGTCAATTTTGGACAATGTGTGAAATTTGTGACCCCAGGTCATGTCAGGTCAGGTCACCAGGTCAAGTTAACTGACCAAGCCTTAAAAAAAGTTTGCAATCATGTCCAGCCTGCAGTGTTTGTCAGAAAGGTTTTAAACTTGGTGGATTGCATGCTGTTATGGGAGCCTACAATTTGTATATCTCGGATTTTTTATATCCGTGACCTAAGGTCAGGTCAGTGGCATGACCTTTCCATTACAAGTCAATGGAGAAAAATCAAAATGCCTCTAGATCCGTGTGTACACATAGGAATTAGGAACAGTCCAAATATTTCAGAATCACAACGATTTAGTCCACTCGTGATGACCAAGGTGTCATTTTTGCTGATAGCCTCTAGAAAGGTCATCCGAGGTCATTTGAGGCTACAAACAGTTTTTTGCCAATAACTCGCGATTGGAAAGAGATAGAACGCTGGGGATGGTCTCATTGTGTTTGTCTTGTTGAGACGCATCGACTGATATGCAACATGACCTTTTCCGGTCAGGTCATGACCTTGACCTGAGGTCAAATTTTTAAGTTGACCTTTCAAGGTCAAATTATAGTTCATTCGACGCGTCTCGGTGAGAGGAACACGATTCTGGCAATAGAAATGTCGTGGCTTTTTGTAGTCGAAAGTTATTGTCGAAAAACACTTTTCGTAAAAACAGCTATTTTTGGAGTTTTTGCCCTCTGGAGGCTAAACCGTTGACCTGAGGACAATATTGATAATAACCTTTTCAAAAGAAGAGTTCAAAAGCTATCGATTGCTTTTCCATGCGTTTTTCTACCTACCATAGTTCCTGAGATAGCGGCATGTTTTCTGAAAAATATAATGACAATTGGCAAATTTTGACCTTTGATGACCTCTGGTGACCCCAATATTGCTCTAAGGTAAAAAATGACCGAAATACTTTCAAACGTACGTATTGAGAGCTATCGACTGCTTTTTACCGCGTCTTTCTAGCCCTCTTAGTTTTTGAGTTAGAGGTGGGTGGTAACATATGCCCCCCCCCCCCCCTCACTAGGGCGAAGTTGGCCGAGACCGCCACTGGGGCGCGGGTTAACCAGACTACAATGAAACTTTGAATGTAGCTTATATGTATCGTCACCCTTGCAGCTACAATTTTAGCTACTGACATCTTCTTTTCGATCACTCCGCATTAAACAATCGCCAGTCAAAGCCAATCGTTGAGATTGGTAAAACCCTACATTACTTTAGCGGTGGGCTGTACGTTCATATGCAGGTAATACGAGCTTATGTAAGCCATAAAGTGACAACCACCCTATCGATTAAACAGTGCATCGCCCGGAATATACGTAAATCGTCTATCTTCTGGGTGATAGCTCAGCCGAGGTTAGAGGAATGCACGACAACCCTTCTGGGAACATACCGTCGGTATCGATTGCTATCCACTGTCAGTGCATCTTTCATTCCATAGATTTTAATGACATGTCACGCCTCGCTCTGCTCAAATCATTACGCTTTTGGAATATATGTTCCAATCCTACACACCATCCTTAATCCTAATTTCCGCTTGCTTTTTTTAAAGAAAAGAACTCATGCTAGTGTGCTTTTTATCACAGCCCAAAACAACGCGCCTACTAATTCACGTTTCGATGTTTCCGTTGTTTCAGTTCCTCCTTTGATTATTTGTCTTGAAACCTCGAGTGAAAATAAAGAGGTGTAATTTTATTGACAAATTTAACGAAGAAGAATATTTGAAGGGTTTCGTGTGTGCTGATTGTTGTTTTTATTCGCATGCGCCATGCTGCACACAATGGTGCAACCCAGTGGCACACATGTAATTTACCTACCTTTTATTTGAAAAAAACATATCCGTCGTTGTTCCTATGTACACTATACAGCTACCTAAAAAGTCGACGCATTATTCTCTGAAGCTGGTACGTGAAACCACCAAACATCATGTATATCCTAGTTCGTGTCATTAGACTGTTGTTTACCATATCCGCTGCTGGCAAATGTCAATAGCAGGAAAATATGTGGTCATGAATCACGTGCACTCACTTCTGTATGCCACTGCACTGCCACTGCACTTTCCTTACAAGTGCATTGCCGTTCATTTCACAAAAAACATCGAGTCTCGAGAAATCTATCCTCGCATTTTGGGGGAGGGGACGGTGTCGAACGGATCCCTGGCTTTTACGAGTATTGCATAGCTCGCGTAAAAGTGACCGATCGCCAACAGATCGGTTATTATTTATCTAGTTATGATCGCCAAGAGACTTTATTAAATATGTAGGTACTGAATTAGGTCATAGGATTAGGAATATGGGCTCAAGAATTGATGACTAGAAATATGGGTCTGTATCGTCAATTGAAATCACTCGACACCATGTATGTAATAAGTGGGCACAATGCCCACTTATTTGAGCTCCATAACAACCTCTACATAATTGTTGGAATTAGGCAGCTTCATCCCTAAACCTAAGTTGGGTGACTACGGTGTTTTTATCTTCTTCTCCTGTATGATTCCAGAGTGGCTGCCATGAGGCTGTGCCGACTGCTGCTACTGCTGGGCCTGTGTACGGTCCTCGTCAGCTCCTCTTCTGCTCCTCAAAAGGAGGAGCCCACACGGCAGATTTCTACCACCATTCGCTCCGAAAAGAAACCGCCAACAAGAAGAATGTCTTTCGCGACTCGTCGCCAGCTGGCGCGCGCGCGCCGAATTTTGGCGCGTGCTGATAGCGTGCCACCGCGCGGAGTGGGAGTGGTCGCCCGTTCGGCAAGAGGGCGCGCTCGGGCCGGCGTCGCGCCGCGCTTCGGAGGAGTGGCGCCACGCTTCGGAAGGGCGCGAGCCTCGGCGCGCGCTGGCTCGGCGGTGGCGCGCGCGGGACCTTTTGGCGCCACCGCCGGCCGAGCAACCGCTTCTGGCGGGAGCGCCTCATCCTCGAGCGGGCGAGGCGCCTTTGCTGTCGCCTCCTCTGGTTCCGCGTTCGCCTCCGCAGGATCCGCCTTCGCCTCCGCAGGCAGTTCTGAGGAATACGACTACGACTACGACTACGACTACAGCAGTTTTGGAGAGCTGCCCCCCGCCCGGCCGGCCCTGTCATTCGCGATCTTCGACGATACGTCGGTGAAGTTTCAGAGCAGCACAAAGTCGCCGGCGGCGACGGTATCCCCCTGTACGTGGGGTGTGGTCAACTGTTGCAGCAACCCCGATGTAAGGGTAAGTGGTCTGGGCTAATTGCGGGTTTGGGGCAAACTTCGACAGATCTGGGCTAATTCCTGTACGTATAGAGTAGTCAACTGTTATATTTAGCACCAGCCACCCCGACGTGAGGGTAAGTGGTCTGGGCTATTGGCGGATTTGGAGCATACTTCGACAGATCTGGGCAATATCCTGTGCGCAGGGTGTAGTCACCTTCTGTAGCAACCCTGATGTCAGGGTGAGTGATCTGGGCTATTTGCGGACTTCGAGGTAAGCGTCGATCAATTTGGGTGTTTATGGGATGTTGGGATAAACGTGACCCAATCTGGGCTTTTATGGGATTTTGGTGTAAGCTTCATGCAGGCTGGGTTATTGTGGGATTTGGGGTAAGCAATTCGACAAATGTGGGCCATGTTTGGATGCTGGTGAAGCCCAGTACGGGCTGGTTTCCTGAACGTTAGGCGTGGTTTAACCCGCGCCCCACTGGGGGGGGGCTATTTATAGCCCCCCTCCCGTTTTTCCGCAATAACTTTCAAACCGCTTGACGGATCGACGCCAAGCTTTCGGTACCCTTAGCTGCATCAATTTGACACCTTGTGTCAAAATTTGAACTTCGTAGCTACCATAGGTCGGCCGGAAATGACGTCAGAGTGACGTCATGTTCGTCCGATTTCGACGCAAAACATTGAACCACGGCAATCGCTCCCAAGAGCTCAGTTTTTAAGCTAGATCCAATTTCTTTGCATGAAAGGACTCAGAATTGACCGTGCTATCAAACTGCTATCTCGGATTTTCAAAATTTCGAAATTTTCGAAAATTTCATATAATAATATTCAAAATTTATATTTTTGTATTTTTTTCAAAAAGTTTTTGACTTTTCGAAAAAAACCGGAAAATATGTGACAGAACGCATGATTATGACTAACTATAGCAAGTTTTAGCTAAATATCTTCAAAAATGGCCAAGTTATACGCATTATTGCAAAAAATTCACAATTATTAATTTTTCAAATCAATTTTTCAGTACGTATTTGACATCGTACACCAATATAAATGGCACCATCGTGTTCCTGAGCTCAAACTGCATCCAATAGACACCTTTTTTGTTGAAAAATTTTAACTTCAATATTTGACCTTTTTTGACCTGAAAGTGACCTGACCTAAGCTAAATTCGACTCAAAATGACCTCAAATGACACAGACGACATCAAATTCGAAATATATGGCCTAAACGGACCATAAAACATGTGTCACGTGACCGACGCATGATATAATATTTCCGTGACCTGTGATGACCTGACCCTGACCTGAAAATCAAAGTACAAGTTTGGTACCCTCAAGGTATCTAAAGTATCTGTTCACGAGTGTGGAAACCAAAAATGAGCATGATCTGACTTGTAAGACGGCGGCCAGAGCCCAAAATGTGAACAAGCCAAAATGCTAATAATTTTTACTTTGACCTGACCTGTGACGTCATCGATGACCTCGAGGTCAATGAAATTAGGTTTCGCTCGACAGTTTTTCCGGGGCTATCAGACGCCGTTTGAATTTTGACGATCGACCCAGTAGTTTCGGAGTTAGGAGGGGGGGCTATGAATAGCCCCCCCCCAGTAGGGCGGGTTATACACAGACCCCAGTGGGGCGCGGGTTAATACTGTTTAGTCCATATGCGCAAGTCCCTAACGCTAAGCACCATCCATCTAGGCTGGCCTCTACACAGATGACCCCTTTGAAACTGGGACACATACGAGTATTATATATAGCACTTGGCACACCCTGTCAGCTTGTGTTTTCCGTGTGTATCGCAGCTGTTGATATCGGTACTTAATCTCACTGTGGCTCTCACCTTTCAGGTCAGCCGAGTGATGTGCTTTGAGCGGCACGGATGTTTCGGCTCGTGGTTTGACGACCTCTGCACTCCAACAGTGAAGAAGGGCGTTTTCCAAGAAGTGTTTGGCACTATTCAAGGGTAATGCGTAAAAAGGAAGACACATAACTATAGTTTTGAGGTTTTCATATATTTCACTGATAGTTATCGAAAAAAGAAACACAACTTCAGGCTCTACATAGATTTAGAATATACATAGTTGTTTCTGAGCACGATTTATTTTCAGATACCTACACCTCAATTTGGTTATATTACCAGAATAAGCAAGCAATCGCTTTAAAACTTCTTAAAATCAGCTCATTCGACTGGCTGGAAGACCCTCCTTCACAAAACTCACGGTTGGCTGACAGCATCGCCGCGCTGTAGGTATATGGCGACCACGTATAGGCGTATTTTACGTCCCACTGTTTATACTACAGCTGTTCCGTGTTCTGGAACCTCTCTGTTGATCGCCAGAGGACGGCTGGACACCACAGGGTCCGAGTCTCAAAGAACGTCAGTGTTTGGAGACTGGATGTTCAGTATAAACATGGCGCAAACTTCGTGGATGACCTTGTCATTAGTGTTATGCTGCTGTAGTTGTGTACCCCTACGGGATGTGGAGATAGGATAAAAGCATGTTATATGAATGTTACTTAGTAGGTACACTGTACAGTGTTAGTTGTATTGGAGATATCACGAGAGTGTGAAGTGTCTCCGTTTTTGTAGCGCCTTTACCCTCGAAAGCAAGGTGGAAAGCACTACGAATGCAGATAGCATTGTCAGTGGTCGTCTAATTTCATAGTTTGATTTCGTTTGACCGAAAAAAAAATGTCTTACAATTGACCCACTGGTGAATGCTGACAGATTTGTTCGTTTCCACATCTTGAGCATTCACTAGTTAGTGTGTTCTGTAGCATAATACTATCCACTTATAATGTTTTCTTGCAGTATGTTCTGTACATCACAACCGACATTTATGCATGTGTCCAATATGTCTCGCTTACTACCTATCCGTAGTGTCGGATTTTCCGTCCAATAAATGCTCAATACTGCACTAGTTTGATCGATTTATAGAACACACCTTAAGGACAACTTTTAACGCAAAAGAGTCCCCCTAAAACATAGAAATAGAGTGTTATCTAAAGAATGACAATACAAAAACAGTGTAAATAAGACCAGACATTTCGACAACAAGGTGCCTTCGTCAATGGAAAACAAGATATAGGCTTTACATCGATAAAATATAGAAGACAACCGGTCAAGCCTTTTATCGTTGTAAGGCCTACATGTTGTTTTCCACTGACGAAGGCACTTTGTTGTCGAAACGTCTGGTCTTATTTACACTGTTTTTGTATTGTCATTGTCTGTGAGAGAAACAAAATGTCTAACTCTTCTAGTCTAACTTAGCTAAAGAAATTGATATGGCCACTCGGTGCTCCATATTTGATCGGTATTCATATTAAAAGGTGATAGAACAACTCCTCGACTAATTATAATACCCTCGACTCGACTTCGAGGGCCTCGAGCACTGTCCAATTCACAACACACAGTCAGTTAGTAGTATATTATACAATGGCACGGAATCGAAACGAGTCTACCGACTCGTGGTTAAGTAGAGCGATCTACCAGCCCGCGGATGGCTGGAGCACGACGTTCCGGGGCCGCGCCACGACTCTGCGAAGCGGTAGACACCGAACAGATGGCTCTGCGTGTATCTACTGTGTTCTGATTGCTACGTTCTAGAGCATCCAAACGCACATTCGGATTCGCCAATTATTGGACGTTAGCTTACATCAAGTCGCAAATGAGCAGCTTCTGGCTCGGTTTAGCCTTAAACTGAGGACGCAAGCACATGATTCAGATATCCTGGAGTTTTGACTGTAAGGCTGTTAGAACTTTAAGGTGAAAGCATATCTCATGTCACTTTAGTAACATATTATCACCGCTCACGGTTTTCAATTGTTGCGCAATTAATACAAAACTTGAATAAAAGCAAAGCATCAGGAAACAATTTTGCAAAGATTTTTCAGTTTCAAAAACGTACACTGCATTGCTTGCCAACACTACTGGTGCTTTCGAAAACACCTGGTTACGTCATCATAAGCGGTGACGTCACATGCGGCTAAAAGTGACGTCATACGCGCGACACACAGTGACCTCACACATGCGGCCGAAATGGTAAGAGAGCGTTTGAGACACCTGCAAGACCTTTTCGACGCCAAACACCGACGGCGGTCCGTACACTGTGACGTCACAATATGACGTCATAACTGAGGCGAACTAAAAGCACAAATGGACGGCGAAATAATGGAATGTGTAGCACATTGAGTTAAGAAGTGCTTTTGACCTCATGTAATCGGAAGGGTACTACGATACGCAAAACTGTATGCACAGTGCTGTGCATACAGTTTTGCTCAAGTAGTTAGCTGCCGCAAGTTTCTGTTTACTACCGAAGGAACGAAAATAGCAAAAAAAAAACAAGCAATAGGAGGGAGGGAGGGAGGAAGGCGAAGAAACGGACGAAGAACAGCATAGGTTAGGAAAGAGGTAAAATGGTGAAGCAGTCTCAGCAATGTGACATGCAGTCACAAATGTCGATTTGGAATGTTTAATGAACGCCATCCGACCCTTACAGACGTTACACATCACTCTGTAGAGACAGAGGATCATTCGGGTCAGTTCCTTATCGTTCCGTTCTCGCTAAAACTCAAACTAAGCTTCCCCAATAATGAGGGAATGCAGAGGGCGGGGTCATGTGACCGCTAACAGAGCCCAATTAGCTGCCGGGAGAGAGGGGCGGCGCATAGCACAGGTGGTGCCACTGGACAAAGATGACGCTCCACACGTAGCGCCCTCTATACCGGCGATAGCGCCATCTATACCGACGACAGCGCCGCCTTTACCGGTTACAGCGCCACCTATATCGCCGATAGCGCCACCTGTACCACTGAAAACGCCACGCTAGATGACGTTGGGCCGGTGTGGGCGACATCAGCGCCATCTAGAACTCAAGCAGAGGTCCGCTGCCGCTGCCATCCACGACGTAATTGTCCTCATCGTCTTCGTCGGCGATGTTGAAATCGGCGTCATAGCGAGAGGTCTCGCCATCTGTCGGAGGAAAAAACGAATTAATGATGTTCAAGTTCCTGTCAGAGACGGTGTTAGAACAATATGAGCGAAGCAGCCGATTGTAAGATTTCAAATGTTGTCATATGCTACTTAATACCAGGCGTTCAGCTTTCAACTACAAACAAGCTGACTTCGATAGAATGCGTGTGTCGTTACAATTATTGCCATGGACCGTGTTGGACAGTATGCATGTGGACGCAGCAGTAGACGCATTCTACGACCTCTTGAATGCAGTCATCAGCGACTGCATACCTGTCGTTGATATAAAGAGGAACTACCCACCCAAGGCTATAGAACTCCAGGTAAGGACACCAGCCGTTTGACCTTGAACGCCGCCGGCCGGCCGATGACGTCATTGGAGGCAAGCCGGCTCGGCGGACACATCGGGCGAATGCATAAAGGAGGGGCGTTGGAACGTTGCGGGAGCCGGAGAGATCTTCTAATGTGGTTGCATACCACCATTGTTATGCTGATTGATCTACAGACTGCAGTCTTATAAACCTCGATGCATCCTAGGCCTGGATGGTGCGTACATTCGTAGAACGATCACTCCGTCCGACGTCCATGGTCGAAGCTGTATGTATCTAAAGACACTAAGACGAGTGCAATAACGGCGACCCGATCCCGTCTCTGGCGAATCCAGAGGGGTCGTAACTCGTAAGGACCCAGGCCGAATCTGACCGTCTATTTTTAGGGAAACGGGGTGGGTGAATCGACAACCGATGGTTTAAGAGATGATTCGAGAAAGGATCCCATCGTCGATTGTTGTTTGACAGACAACGCATGTTGTACTGAGCGTTTAACCATCAGAGGTAATGCCTGATTACGTAGGCAAGCATAATTGGTCTGTCATATTGCTTAGGAATATAAAACCGTAATGGAAATCATAGAGGATATGATCTCTACATTACGGGAATTCACTAATTATTACGGCTCATAGGGGCACCGCCGGAGCTGCTGTTTTACCATCGGTCCCAGGCAACTCCAGGGAGCTGCAGTACCCGGCGGCCAAAGCGGCCACCTCGTCGACTCGCAGGTCCTGTGGGATTCCGTGATGCTTCAGTGCTTCACCCACAGAAGCACGGGTCACAGCAGTAGGATGTGGGGTCAGGAGTCTGTCCGCCTTTTCATTGTAGGTACGTAGGTACGTACAATGTATGCGGCGTCTGGTCCCGCCGAAGCTCGGTATCGACCGTGACTTCATTCAGACTTATTCACAACTGGCGGATAAGGAAGCGGTCTTGGACACTGCGGGGGCTAACCTCAAAAAGGTTTTTTTTCCGAATTAATTTAAAAAAAAGAAGCTCGGATTTCGATTTCTTGCGCACTGCTGTGCAGTGTGATTAACCAACATTTCCTCAGAATAGTTGTGAAGTTTTCTTTTATTCTCGAAAAGCGATTTCTGGCGCTGCCCCGGTTGTGGGGAAGACATTTGCCCCAAATGCCTTCCCCTGGATCCGCCAGTGGGTTGCCCGACCCCGAGCTTGACTAAAAACGTCTTCAAACACCACCAGAAACCGATGGTAAGGTGAATTTAAATCCAATAACTGATCTCTGTCTGCCCGCCTAAATATATTACACATGGTACGGCACCCGGCCCTGTCGGAGCTATGATCCGATCGTGACATTTTCGGCTTTCCCCATCCCAAGCTCGATTAGAAACGTTCTCCCTCCCCACCCGATTGCTGATGTCAATTCAAATTCAATACCTTATCTCTGTCCGCCCGCCCATAACCCATTCATTGCACACCGTTCAGCGCCCGGCCCCGCCAGAAGTATCCTAGCGCGCTGAGCAGTTGCCTCCAGCCGCGTCATCGCGAGGCCCCGCGCGGCCCATAACTGAATACATTGCGCGAATAGCCGTGTCGCCCCCCTGTACCCACCTTGGTTCGACCGTGGCTTGCGTGATCTGCTGCGAGAGAAAGAGACTGCCTTTCGCAGACTGAAACGTAATCGGTGCGAGGAGACCGAACAGATATTTCGAAACAAGCGACGAGAATTTAGGAACTTAGCAAACAAAAAATACAGCGACTATTTAGTTGGACTCACAGTCGAATTCAAAACAAATCCAAAACGGTTCTGGTCTTTCTTAAAGTGTACCAAAAGCGGAACTAAAGGTCTATCAGCTCTCAAAGTAGACGGTGTAGAGGTCACGGACGACACAGACAAAGCGAATGCACTCAACAGGGCGTTCGCGGCCAAATTTACCGATTCTCCTGTGACCGTACTACCCCAGTGTCCGTCTTACAACTTGTCACCTTTGACCCATTTCGAATGCAATGCAGATCTGGTAAAAAATATCATGGAAAACATACCCGTAAATAAGGCCTGTGGCCCTGATGGCATAAGCGCCCGTATCATACGGGAGTGCAGCGGCGCGCTGTCAGTTCCAATTACTAAGATCTGCAAGCTCTCTCTGAGCCAAGGTGTTTTTCCGACGTACTGGAAGAAAGCCAATGTCGTACCACTGTTCAAAAAAGGTAGTGTCAAGGACCCTGCCAACTATCGCTCCGTGTCACTCATACCACTCTTCGGTAAAGTCCTTGAGAAAGTTGTTTACCTCAGCTTGCTTCGACATGTGACCCCCGCTATATCGCCCGAGCAGCACGGCTTTGTCCCAGGCAGGTCGTGTGCAACGAACCTGGCCACACTGCTCAGCGCCGCATACAACTCGATTGACGAACAGTGCCAAACCGACTGTGTGTATACAGACTTCTCAGCCGCCTTTCAGAGTGTCAATCATCGTCTTTTAATTCACAAACTTAAAACGTCATATCACATATCAGGTTCGGCACTGAGCTGGCTGACGTCATACCTCAACAATAGGCAGCAGCGCGTTGTGGTGAACGGGAAGTGTTCGGATTGGTGCTGTGTCACATCCGGCACCCCGGAAGGCGGCGTAATTTCTGCTCTGTGTTTCGCGCTCTTCATCAACGACCTGTCTGTTGGGATGTCCTCCCGGGTACTTCTTTTTGCTGACGACGCCAAAATCTATCGCAAAATAGCCTGTCCAAAAGATGCAACAAGCTTACAAGGAGATCTTGAACGTCTGCACCAGTGGTCGAAAACTTGGCATCTCAGGCTAAACCCATCAAAATGCAAAACGTTCAGAATGACTCTAAAAACAAAACCACTGGTCACGGCATATTCAATCGGAGGCACGGTTTTGGAACATGTGAACGAAATTCGAGATTTGGGCGTTATTTTGGACACAAAACTTACATTCGGACCCCACGTTCATCAGATGGTATCAAAAACAAATCGTGCTTTGGGTGTCCTAATCAGATCGTTTCAAAGGGCTACCCCGGGAGGACATCCCAATCTCAATGTATCATCTGTCATGGTATCATACTTCGCCTATGTTCGTTCCAACATGGAATACTGCAGTGTAATTTGGAGTGGAGCCGCCGCAGTGCATCTCGACAGGATTGGCCGGATCGAACACAAGTTTTTAATGTGGCTGAACGCCAACTGTCATCATCGCTCAACTTCCATCTCATATGCCGATTTGCTGAAACATTTTAACCTCACTTCCGTATCTGCCAGGCTGGTGCAGCACGATATCATGTTTGTTCGCAACGTGCTTAGAGGCAGAATTAAGTCCGCACTCTTGCTGCAGGCGTTCTCGCTTAGTGTGCCTATCCGCGCAACTAGGCAACAGGCGAGTGCGCTGCTGCATGTGCCATTTGCAAGGGTGAACGCAATGAAAAACGGTTTATTTACAAGGCTGCCGAGGCAGCTCAACCGGCTTGTAGAGAGACTTCCCGCGGTGGACGTGTTCTGCGACGGTATTTTCACATTCCGTAGCAGCGTCAGACATTTTGTGGCAGAAATGTGACGCTAATGGAAATGCCTCGCTGTATTCGATGAGCCTGCCTGGCAGGTTCATTCATTTCATTTACTAGCATTTTACTGGCATCTTGTCGTCATCCTTGTTGTCACTTATCGCACTCTATTGAGTATTCTTATTCTTATTTTTATTTATAGTTACCTTCTATCTTTTATATCTTTTTTTATTTTTTTTTACCGGCCGTATATTTATTGGTCTTTTATTATATGTATACCTACCCGAGTGTGTCGTCTTTGTACCTATGCATGTAACTTATTCGTTTTAAAAGTGAGACTTCGTCTTTTAATGGGTCCTCCCGTCGGCGATATGAATAAATAAATAAATAAATAAATGACGGATTATAAACCTAGCGGTAAGCAGACTGCAGAAGTCAGGGGACAAATGCTTGTGCTTTTTCATTCTTGATTTATGAGTAACACTTTACCGACATCTGAGTACGAACGTACCGCATCTGGTGTTGCCGCGCCGCGTGCGGGTTCCCTTCTGTTCGACACCGTACCGGTCAGCACACCAGCACTGCGATCCGTGGCACTGGGTCGGACGGAAGAAACCGTCCTGGTCGCAGGCCGGCGTGTAGGCTCCTGGAGCAGGTCAGGGCAGGTCAGGGTATATTAGATCAGGGTAGGTCAGAGGAAGTCAGCTTAGATAACGTCAGATAAGGCGATTTTCTTAAATTTATTGCAGCGCAAAACAATTACGCCTGCTTCGTATATGCACAAACATGACACATCGACAGAAAGCCAGGCCGTGGTAGGCGGACTACCTATTCACGATATTCAGGATTGTTATAATACGTGTTTTACCAAAGATGACCACTAACTCACTAATACAGCGAATTAAACTCTCCATAACAGGGTTGCCAGCTTAGGTTGGGTCACCAATAAACTCGGTCACGTTCAATTCCACGTTACGCTCGGTCCGGAACCGAAGGCTGGGTATGGTTAAGACATACAGAAACCAGTATAACGCCTTTTGGGGCGACTAACGGAGCGAGCGAGAGGGTGGGCCTTGCACGTGCGAAATTGCGAGGGGGTACCTCCAACTGACTTGTGCACGGCACCCTACTAACTGGTCTCTAGCGATGTGCCAAATTTGGGCACAATCGGCCCAGCCGTTCTCGAGATCTGGAAGCGGCACCCTGCACGTGCGCACGTGCAAAATGGGTCCCAACTGACTTGTGCACGGCACCCTACTAACCGGTCCCTAACCGTGTACCAAATTTGAGCGCAATCGGTCCAGCCGTTCCCGAGATCTGGAAACGACCCCTGCACGTGCGCACGTGCAGCAGCACCCCAACTCTGGCACATGTATATGCAGTGCCTAGTGGGTGCCTACCTACATGCCAACTTTCAGCGCAATCGGCCAAGTAGTTACCGAGATATTGCAACAATTACAAAACTGACACCTCTTCGTTTTTGCACGTGGCACGTGCATAAGGGGTCACCCACATGCATCGGGAATAGTCCAATACTTGGTAGAAGGAATGAAGCTACCCTACAAAAATTACCGCGTGTAAATCGGTCAAGTGGTTGCTGAGATATAAGCCTCGCAAAAGCGTGACCACGGCCGGCCGGCCGGCCGGCCGGCCGCTCATACTCAGAAATTTCCGTTAATCTAAGGAAAGACTACGCTCGCTTCGCTCGCTCCGTAATAAGGACATGTGTAGATTGACAGTTAGATATACCGGCAAACAGACAGACAGATATATGTATTGATATTCACCACACTCTAACGTACCGAGTCTGGCCGCTGGTGATCTCCGATTGCCAGACACACATACATACATGTTATTTTTTATTTTAGTTATTGTTATTTACCCAGAGACAGACAGACATTCGCTACACTCCGACTTACCCAGTCTGGCGGCATTCTCCCGCTAGTCTTTGGTAGGGAGACACACATGCATATACACAGAAGCAGACTGACATTCAGTCCGCCCTCACGTACCCAGTCTGGCGGCGTTCTCCCGCTGACGGTCCTTACAGGGCGCCGGTACGGCCTGGAAGCAGGTACACCACTCTCTGGTCGTGAGGAAGATGTCGCTGTGGGGAGAGAGAGAAAAGGTGAGAAAGATGTCAATGTAGGGGAAGAATGTGTGTAAGAGAGAGAGAGAGAGAGAGAGAGAGAGAGAGAGAGAGAGAGAGAGAGAGAGAGAGAGAGAGAGAGAGAGAGAGAGAGAGAGAGAGAGAGAGAGAGAGAGAGAGAGAGAGAGAGAGAGAGAGAGAGAGAGAGAGAGAGAGAGAGAGAGAGAGAGAGAGAGAGAGAGAGAGAGAGAGAGAGAGAGAGAGAGAGAGAGAGAGAGAGAGAGAGAGAGAGAGAGAGAGAGAGAGAGAGAGAGAGAGAGAGAGAGAGAGAGAGAGAGAGAGAGAGAGAGAGAGAGAGAGAGAGAGAGAGAGAGAGAGAGAGAGAGGAGAGAGAGAGAGAGAGAGAGAGAGAGAGAGAGAGAGAGAGAGAGAGAGAGAGAGAGAGAGAGAGAGAGAGAGAGAGAGAGAGAGAGAGAGAGAGAGAGAGAGAGAGAGAGAGAGAGAGAGAGAGAGAGAGAGAGAGAGAGAGAGAGAGAGAGAGAGAGAGAGAGAGAGAGAGGTATGAAAAATGCAAATGTAGTGGATCTGAAAGGCATCACTGCGACTTGAATTGTGTACGTCCTGTGGCAGGCAGTTATTACTATTGCGAGTTATTTGCGATAAAACGAGGGTGTCCCGGGCTAATTTTTCTATAGGTGTTTTTATTCTGTTTTTATGTGTTTTTATTTCTGGCTTTTCTCCTATCTATATTCTATATTTTTATTGTAGGTATGTGGTACGAAAAAATCAATATTAAACTCTTTCGAACAGCCACCGAATAGTGAAGCGCGTAGCCCAAGCCCCAAGCAAATAAGGTTGACTTACAATCAGCCTCGCTGAGGCAGATGGCGCTGCAGTAAGTGAACGGATTCCACTATCGACCCATTTTCACATTCTACCGTAATGCTACCACATTCTACGGTAACAGAGTGTGTCTATTCTTTCCACACTCTCTCCCTGACCCCATAAGAGCTTTTCATTAACAATCCAATCATTCACCTCACCCCTCCTTCCCACTCTTTTTCCTTCCCACTCTCGGTTCTCGCTTAGTCGTTCTTATCAAAACCTCTTGTTTGTCTTCCTAGTTGTGAACAGGCTCTTTCGGTCTGTAAAGACCACTGCAGAGCTATGGGATGATAGGATAGGAAGTAGTCACTAGCCATGCATGTTACAACGCGGCAGAGACTCTTCCGGTGAACTGAGAAGGCAATGTCCCTTGGGACAGCCCGGCCTGCCGCTCAAACGGTCATCCCGGATGTGCATCCCAGCGAGAACCTGTCCTCACACCAGTTGCCTTGTGGGGTTGACCGCCGCACGAGCCACCAAGAACCAGGAGGATGCGATGAACCAGAGAGCTCTGAACAAAGTAAGGACGAATGCCCCTCAAATATCCCCCACCCCACCCCTGACCCCGGACCCGCCTCCCATTCCTTACCTGTTGAGGTCGCAGCTGTCCAGAACGGCTTCAGACAGGGCTCATTTCATCCCTCTCCACGGCGTACAACTCTCTCGCTTCCAGCTGACCATCAGAGTCGGTATCCAGATACAGGAACATCCACTGGGCCATGGGGCGGCACGCGACGGGAGTGCGCTGTGGACAGAGACCCTGGTGGTGATATCTGGTACTGATAGTTCCACCGTCCTGCAGGTAGCCAGCAGTAGATTTACCGAAACAT